GTTCTACCCCTCAACCCGGTGCCGCCGCCCCCCCTCCTCAGCCCGCCCCTCAGCCCGCCCCTCAGCCCGGCCCGGCGCAGGACCCGCTGGACGACCCGCGCTTCACCATCTCCAGCACCAACTGGTATTAAAAAACCCAACACCCGCAGCCCCCTTCACGGAGAGGACGAGGAGGAGGAGGATTGGAAGAAAGTGCGTCTGTCCCTCCACCCCCGCCGCGGCGGCGCTGGCTTCTTAATAAAAGGAGACCGAGGGGCCACTCGCCAAAGCAGGTTTATTTGGCCGCCCCCCTCAGGGCTGAGGAGGAGGAGGGATGGGAGGCTGGAGGAGGTGGTTGAGCCGCTCGGCCTCCCGCCAGCCCGAGAGCAGCGCGCCGTGGGTGGTGGAGTAGAAGGTGCGGTGCGTGGCCTCGCCGGCGAAGAGGAGCTGTAGGGGCTGCGGGGAGAAGGGTGGTGGTGGTGGGGTAGGTGAGGTTGAGCCGTGACATCCCGGCCTCGCCTTCCCCCCTCGCCATCACCGCCGAGGCGATGCAGAAAGCTCTGCCTTCCCCCAGGCGCCGCGGCCTCAATTTTTTTAGGGAAGCGAGGGGGTTGCCGCCACCGTCGTGGGTGACACACCCCCCCCCCCTTCACCCCTACCCCAAAAGGGTGAGAGCGGTGCCGCCTGCCTGCGCTGCTGGAGGTTCCCCTGTCCCTACATCCCGCTGCACCCCACCCCTGCATCCTCACCCGGGGGTCCTGGGGGTCCTCGGGCAGGGGCTGTGCCAGCACGTCGATGTCGTCCCCGGAGCTGCCGACGGCCACGTAGCTGTAGGAGCCGCGGGTGTAGGGAGCGCTGTGCCAGCGGGACCGGAGCACGCTCCTGGGGGCCGGCAGGCTGGGGTTCCCTGCGGGCAGGGAATTCGGGGTGGGATCCCCAAAATCCGCCGGGGGTTAGGGCGGGCGGGGAGGGGCGGGGGAGGCACCTGTGAGCCTGCGGAGGAGGCGGGTCATGGCGCTGAGCACCTCGGCGTCGCTCAGCGTCTCCATGTGCTCCGACTCCTTCCCGGCGATGAAGCCGCAGAGGACGTGCCCGTGCCTGGGCAGGGGACATGGGAGCTCAGAGGTGCTGCTCGCTGGGGCTGCGGTGCCCTCCCTGCCCCACCTCACGGGCCACACCAGCCACCCAGAGCAGGCCTGGGAGATGCCCCAAATCCCCCTCACGTACTGCTCCGGGGGCTGGAGGACCACGAATCCGATGAGCTTCTTGAACCAGTTGGCCTCCAGGTCGGCGCTGGGCTCCTCAAGGGGTGACTCGTCCTCCCACACCACTTCCAGGAGCTCCTGCTCGGGTTCCCAGAAAGGCTGCTCGAACTCCAGGAAGATCTTGTTGTTGGTGCCAAAGCCCAGGCGCTGAATGGCCTCCACTTTGCGCTCGGGAAGGGGAGGCTGGAAGAATTCCTGGTGGTGTTCTTTGAGGAAACCTGCAGGCACAAGATCGGGCAGAAGATCAAGCAGGAGATCAGGCAGTTCTCAGCCGGGCTCCTAAATGGCATCTGAGATACTCTGGCCTCCCCGAGTCCCTTCGCAGCCTCACCTCTCCCACCGGAATTCCTGGCTGAGAGGCTGCGAAGGTGTTTGGGCAATCCCTCCCCTCCACCTGCCCATCTCCAACCCCGCCTGGTCGGAGGGAACAGGCAGGGCAAGGAAAAGGGTGGGTGTCCTCACCCAGGGGGACAGTGACGATGACGTGGTCGGCAAGAAAGGCGTCCCCATCCTCACACTCCACCCGGACGGGGAAATCCCTGGAATCGTCCCCTTCCTCGCGGAAGGACCCTCGCCACCGGATGGTCTTCACTGGCTTGTTGAGCAGGACGGTGCCCTCGGGCAGATCCGAGACGAGGCGCTCGGACAAGCTGCTGTAGCCGCTGCGGGAGGAGGCGCTGCTGGGGACGGGGTGGCCCCCGAAACGCTGCTCCGCCTCCCCTGCGGAGCCCCGCTCTTACCCTGGGAAGGTGCAGTCCAGGCCGGGCAGCGACACGTACTCCCCGAAGGGCTCCAGGGCCACCAGGTCCATGCTGTGGGTCCCGCTGATGCAGCACTCCAGCTTGAGGCAGGCGGCGAGCACGGCCAGCTGGAGCCGCCGGGCGTCCTCCACGCCCCCCGCCATCGTGGGGACCCTCCGGGCGATCTCTGCCCGCAGGTACTGGCCCACGCTGGGCGCCGGTGGCTCCTTGGACCCCTGGAAGGCGCGGGTGGAGGCCAGGAGGGCGTAGAAGAGGTCGCGGGCTTCGCTCACCGCCTTAGAGCTCAGCACCCTCCCCGAGCTGCTGTAGGTGACGGAGGGCAGCGGAGGGTGTCCCCCCGCCTCTGCCTGCTGGTTCTCCTCCAGGGCAGCCTCCGGGCCCAGCAGGCCGTACTGGGAGGCCAGGCGGAACACGGGGTTCCCCGGCGAGGGGCCGTGGATCCAGTGTGCCCCCATCTCCGCCAGCCCCGACGCTGCCGGGAAGGAGGGACAGGGGGTCACCCCGGGCCATGCGTGTGGCAGGACCCCCAAACCCATGTGCCGCCCAAACCATCCGGAGCCAGCGGACCCACCCCTGCCCCAGCCCGCGCTGTGCCACCCGTGACGGGCTCCCGTTCGATCCCACTCCAGAGGGGTCCCGCGGGGTCGGGGGGGGTCAGGTGCAGCTTCCCCATCCCGGTACAGCCGCCCCATCCCGGTGCCCCCGCCCCGCCCCATCCCGGGTCCGCTCCCTGGTACCGCCCATCCCGTGTTCCCGGTTCCTCCCCGGGCCCCCCCCGGCCGTACCGAAGGGGCGGGTGCAGACGCGGCCCCCGGCCCGGGCCGCCGCCTCCAGCAGGCGCAGGGAGCCGTGCCCGCGGAGCCGCTGCGCCGCCCCCAGCCCCGCCAGCCCCGCGCCCACCGCCACCACCCGCCGCCCGCCGCCCTCCATGGCCTCCGGACCCGCCGGCACCGCCCCCGCCGCCGGCACCGCCCGCTGCCCGGCGCACCGCCCCCGGGAGCGGCAGCGAGGGAGGCAGCGAGGGGCGGGAGGAGGGAGGGATGGAGGGAAGGACGGATCGACTGATGGATGGATGCCCGTGGGTCCCGGTGCAGCGATGAACCAGCTGCCCGCGCCCGTGGAGGGTGGGAGAAGGCTGCGGTGGGAAAGGGGACCCCCTCCTGGGATGGGGGCAGCCCCGAGACCACTTCCCCACCCTCCTCCCTCTCCCGATCTCGCACCTGTAGCCACCTTATGCCACTCATCCCGCTGTCCTGGCCATACACATCTCAGCAGCTCCGGGCAGAGCTGCCCCCGGTAGTCCCACTCACCTGGGATTTCCAAACCCCCATGGGCACAATAAAGCTCTCTATCCTCAAGGCTGGCTGATGGTTTTGTTTTGTTTTGGTTTGGTTTTTTGTTTTTTTTTTGTTTTTTTTTTTTTTTTTTTTTTTTTTTTTTTTTTTTTTTTTTTTGCCAGCGAGCATTCCTGGTGCCTGCCCCCCCTGCAGTGGTGAGGTACCAGAGTGCTCTCATCTGGGACCCCCAGAGCACCCACTGTGCCACCTGGCCACTGCCAGCTGGGTCACCCCACACCATTCCTGCTGGCCTGGCAGCCCCCTGGAAAATGTTCACATGCAAGGAGGAGCCGGGGGTGTCAGAACTGCCATGCAGGCTCCTGAAGTCCCCTTTGAGCATTTATTTTGGAGACATTTTCCCCAGCCTTGTTTTTGCAGCAAGCAGCAGGATAGCAATGTGTGGTGGGGGCCTTGCACTGCCTTGGAACATCAGCCTGGCTGCAGCTTCCTGCAGTGACAGTGGCCCTGCAACCCAGCCCCAGTCCAGGGCATTTGGGGTCACCAGCTCCCACAGATGGAGGGCAGGCATTCCCAGAGTGTTAGTGCTGATGACACAGGGACAGCCAGACAGCCATCCCTGGGGGCCTCTGGCCACCGAACAATGCAGGTAAGTGCCTGACTTGCCCCAGCAGAGCCCTGAAGCCCCCCCCAGACGGAGACCCTTCCCTGGGGACGTATCTAGGGCAAGAAGGGTTCCCCACATTCAACCTGAACCCTCCTGGGCTGCGATCTGGCACCAAGCCCCCTCATTGCTGCCGAGAAAGGTTTGGTCTCATCCATCCCCTCCCTCCCTTTCTGTGCCATGGTTGGGGGCTGCTCTCACAGCCAGACTCTACAGGCCCAGCTCCCTCCCATCTCCTCGTGGGTTGGATGCTCTAATCTGCAGCCTGGGCAGCCACAGTGGAGTCACGGCAGGGTCCCAGGATTACCACCATCACCTTGGGGCCCTTCCAGTAGGGTTGGTGGCTCCTACCCACCCTGACACCTCGGCTGACCCCTGTGGTGCCCTGTCTGCACCGTGCCACCGGTCCTTGAGGAGCTCTCAAGCAAGGAGGACAAACCCCAGCGACCAAGGGATGCATGGGAAGCACCATCACCACAAGCATGGCAGGCCAGCAGGAAGGAGGGGACAGCAGGAACTGCCCCAGCAGGGACTGTCCCATCACGTCCTCGGGCTGTCCCAGCCGAGGGAGAGGGGCCAGGCCACCAGCACCTCCCTGGGAGCCACCACTCTACTGGGAGCCCTCCATCAGCTCCAGGATGCTGCTGTAGAGGCGCCCGGGAGCATCCAAGCCCCAGACGAAGTCCCAGTGGTTCCAGTCGGGGATGTGGGTGTAGGAGATGAGGTGGGCGATGCGAGGCAGCAGCAGGCGGACATCCCTCCAGTCAGCTGCCCAGTCCTCCCCTCCCGACCACACCGCTGTGGGCACCGGCATCTCCTCCACCCGGTAGAAGGGTGGTGTGTCCTGCAGGGACACAGGGAGCTCTGAGGAATGGCTGTCGGGGTCAAGCCCTGCAAGGCAACCCACCCCTGCACCACCCCTGGCATCTCCAGCTGCCAGCGCTGCCCCTGCAGCCTCCTACCTGGTGGTACACGGCTGTGTTTTTGCTGCCATAGTCAAAGGCTTTGAATTCTCCTGATTTCACCACCTGGGACCAGAGGGGAGATCTGCTGTGGGAGGCCAGCAAGTGCCACTGTGTGGGTCTGGCATCTGCCAGCCTCCTTGAAGGTTCACATCGTGAGAGAGTGCTTGGAAGAGGTTTGGGCAAGTCCCTGCCCTCCCCTTGCCCATCTCCAACCACGCCAGCTGGTTGGGGACAGACAGGACAAGGAAAGGTGTCCTCACTACTGGCATGTTGCAGGAAGAGGTGGCATCCCTGCAAAGCCAGGTTTTCCCCCCTTTTAAACAGAGTGATGCTTGGCCTCCTGCTCCATTTCTGTCCCTAGTATGGTTTGGCAAACAGAGATGTTGCATGTGACTCCTTGGCTGCCCTGGTGCCACACTCTGAAAACCTGCTTATCACCAGCTGGGCCTGCAGGGTGCTGTTAGATTTCCTTTTATCAACCTGATCATCCTTTTATGCCTTCCCTGTGGCCTATAATTTGGCCCTGCAAGGAGGCCCAAGGGTGGAGGTCACCAGCCTGACCCTGTTTCCAGCAGGGCCAACACTGCAGCTGCAGCAGGACTGGCAGAGCCCAGGCTTGGGGTGTCCAGGACCCCTTTGGGCAGAGGGAGATGCTCTTGGGTCCCCCTTTACCTCCTTGTCCAGGTCTCCCAGGCTCTCCTTATACAGCCTGGTTTCCACCTGCCAACACCAGGGTGTCCCCAGGCTTGCTCTGCTTCGGGGATCCCTGAGGGCCCCAAACTGTGGAGTCCCCTTGTCCTGCCTGGCACAGTCCAGGGAGCACAGCCTGGTGTCCCTCTGTCCCCACAGGGCAGCTCATCCTGCATCCAGCACCTCTCCTGTACGCCTCCACTTTCTCAGGATCTGCCAATATCCAAGATCCCTGAACTCTCACATCTGCCCTGGACACACCAGACTGCCCATGAAGGGACCATCCCAGGGATGAAGCATCTGTGTTTCGGGGAACCTACCTGGGCCCAGTGGATTATGTTTTTGACAGAGGTGCCATCCGGGTAGTGGGATGTGTACACATCCAGCCGTGTCTGCGAGGAAAAATATCCAAAGCTGTCATTGCTTTCCAAAGGAGGGGAGCGAGGGTGGCACTGCCACATGATGTGTTTCCCAAAGCAGCCACTGCTGAGTCGTGCTGCCTAGAGAGCTGGGTCAGGTTTAGGAACATGATTTTCCTTAAAAACCCACTGCTCTAGGACAGCACCAGCAGGAGGATGATGAGGATGAAGGATGAGGTATCCCTGGCTCTGTGAGGTACCTTATCTGGGCTCAGGGACAGAATCACAGAATCACAGGATCAATTAGGTTGGAAAAGACCACTGAGATCATCAAATCCAACCTGTGACCCAACACCACCTTGTCCCCCAGCCCAGAGCACTGAGTGCCACGTCCAGTCATTCCTTGAACACCTCCAGGGATGAGAACTCCACCACCTCCCTGGGCAACCCCTGTTAATATCTAATTTCCCTGTCTATGAAAAAATTTTTCCTAATGTTCAACCTGACCCTTTCCTAACACAGTTGGAGGCCGTTCCCTCTCCTCCTGTCCCTTGTTCCCTGGAAGCAGAGCCCGACTTCTCCCCGGCTCCCCCCTCCTGTCAGGGAGTTGCAGAGCCAGAAGGTCCCCCCTGAGCCCCCTTCTCTCCAGGCTGAGCCCCCCCAGCTCCCTCAGCTGCTCCTCACAGGACTGTGCTCAAGACCTCAGGGACTACCCGTGGTCACCCAGATGCTGCTTCAGCACACTTGGCGTGGGTGGGGAGGGGGCAGGGGCTGCACCCCAGGGGTAGAGGGGTGGCCGCAGGGACAGGCAGCCCTAACTCAGAGGTGTTATCAAGTGCCACCTGGCCACTGACATTCACCCAGCAGAGCCTGGGGACTTATCCTACCCTGCGAGAAGAAGGTAGAGAGGGATCTGGCTCCCTCATCCCACCTGGTATGGCGCACCCACCATGTTGAGGTTCTTCTCATTGAAGCCCCCCAGCAGAAAGAGGAGGTTGGCACAGGGCTTGTGCAGCAGCGTGTGCGTGCACAGCTGGGGGAGGAACCTCCACACCCTCCTCATCCGCAGGGTCGCGTCCGTCCTGCCGAGCAGCAGCTGCGGGAGCAAAGGGCAAGGTGGATTTCCTGCATTTCCCCTCCTGCCCTCCTGCCGTGTGGAGGCTCGAACAGCTCATTGCAGGAGGCGATGCCGATGGAACACGCACGAGAGAAATTAAGATTCAGGGCTCTCCTCCTTCCCCCCACCTCCCCCGAGCGCTGGATTCGTTTTCCACTGTCATTAAAATCAACGTGGTGCAGCTGCTCTTTTCCACATGTTTTGTCCAGGAATTCAACAAGTTTCATCCTCCAGATGGAAGACATGGACTCAGCTAAGTGACCGTCCAGGACTGCATCTGCACCTGAATTGTGTCAATAAATCAGCAGTAAGTAGCTGTTTTCTGCCACATGGGATGCTGTGTCTGGCCGTGACCCCTTTCCTAGAACCAGTGAGTTTTGGGGCTGGAGGGCATGGAGCAATCCCTTACCGAAATCATCTTGAGATTCTTGTCCAGAAGTAAGGGTATTTTCATGAAGGGACTTCTGGTGTGATTGGCTGTCACCACAGGAGCCAGGGCAAAGAACATTTTGATTTTCTGAGCCAGTTCAGGCAAGGCTGAGAACGCAATGAACGCTGAGAAAACAGAAAAACAACCTGAGACTTGGTCCACCTTTCTTCTGCGTTTGCTCAGACCCAGATCTGTT